TAACAGCAAGGACATCATTTCTTTCTAGATGTATCCAGGAGTTCACCCCAAATATGAGACTGAGTCTGCACAATAAGACTCATGCATTATTCTGGACCTCCCATACACAAATTATCCCTATTTTAAATGGTCATGAGGTGTATGAACAGATGTGTTGTGGGTTGGGCTTTTACATACATGAAAAAGGTGGTCTTAAAATTGATCATATGTCTTAACTAGCCAATAATGTTATGGGGATGGAAAAATACTACCAGGGAAAGGGAATAAAACCATGCGGTGTCGAGTATGGAGTGTGCCTACTTGCCTACGACACCCCTTCTTGCAAGAATGATAACTAATAAATTGGAAATTACTGTTTCACTTGTTTTGTCCTGATTAATTCGGTTTGGTACTTTGATACTTAGAAAACTTTATCCCACATCAACAAAGCAGGGGTTAAATCCCCCCCCCATACAAAGATCCTTCCAGAGATCTGTTTTTTCCTGAACCATCCCCCACCTTTTTGATCATACTCTAGTTTTACTTGCATAAAGTATTGAGATTTGCATCTCAATCAATTTGCTTTCTTAAAAATTGTTGCAATCCCAGAGCAAAAAGTGATCCCCAAGATCTTTAAAAAAAATCATTGCTTATGTTGCTTATGTTGCTATTTGTTCCAAAGTAAGCCCCACTGATTTTAATAGGGCCTACATTCAGCCTCCATTGGACTGTGGTGATAGTAGTCTAAACCAACCCTTCCCTTCCTTAATACAGGAAAGCTTCCATTACTAAATGTAGAGAACACTGATGGCTCTCAAGTACTTGTGTGTATGTACTTTTAAGTCACCTGTTGACTTAGGGTTACTCTATGAATTTCATAGAGTTTCCTTAGGCATGGAATACTCAAGAGGTGTTTTTGCCTTTTTCTTTGAAATATAGCCTACAGCGCCTGGTTAAAATCATTATATTCCCCATCACCATTTATGGTTGTGAGAGCTGGAAGGTGAAGAAAGCTGATAGAAAGAAAATCAATTCATTTCAGATGTGGTGCAGGAAAAGAGTGCTAAAGATACCATGGATGGCCAAAAAGACAAACAAATAGATCTTAGAACAGATCAAGCCTGAAATCTCCCTGGAAGCCAAAATGACTAAACTGAGGCTGTTATACTTTGGCTACTATTAGAGGGACCAAATATTAATATTTGGCCACTATTAATAGTACTTTGGCTACTATTAGTGGCTCAGTAGTTAAGACTTTGATGATTGCAAGATCAGCAGGTCAGCAGTTTGACGCCCAAGTGCTGTGTGATGAAATGAGCTCCCATCACTAATCCCAGCTTCTGCCAACCTAGCAGTTCGAAAGCATGTAAAAGTGCAAGTAGATAAATAGGTACCACTTTGGTGGGAAGGTAACAGCGTTCTGTGCAGTCATACTGGCCACATAATCACAGAGTTGTCTGTGGCAACACTGGCTCCCTCAGCTTACTTTTTTAAAATGTTTTTTTAAATATTTAAAATTTTGAAATTTAAAATTTTAATTTTAAAAAATCCTGGGGCCTCTCTGCTCCCACTGAGCTTCACCCCACTCCCACCATATCTTAAAGCATTTTAAAGAGAAGCAGATCAATGTCACAGCCCAAATGCAGGTTTTTGAGGAGCAGCAGTGTCACCCCCCCTTAGGGTGTCACCTGGTACAGTCTGCACCCATGCACCCCCTAGTAACTCCACTGGGGTGTCACCTGGTGTCGGTGCCCACCACACTTCCCCTAATGATGCCACTGCTTGAAGTTAACAACAACAAACTTGGTATTCATTGCCAGTCTCCCATACAAGTACTGATCAGGACTGATCCTGCTTAGCTTCCATGATTAGATGGGATCTGGCGCCTTTCCAGAATTTAACAGGTGAACACTGTTCATATGGCTGAGCCTCTCCTTTTGTCACTACTCCCTCCTGCTGGGTTTATTGACTGCAAACTACTTTTGCACTTTGAGTTCAGTTTGCAGCAACTGAAGTAAGTTAAGGAGGAAGACATGAGAGAAACTGGGAGACTTTAAAAGCACCAGTGAGATAGTAGAGGATTAAATGGTACTATCCTTACTCACTGGAATAATTGCAAGGTATGCCAATGGCAGTTTTTCAAAGACAAAAAAGAGATTTAATGTAAAAATTGTCAGGCTGGTCCCAAACTGAGCTCAGTATGTTGAGTTTGTACCTGCTCCAGAGAAGTTCACTAGCAGGGATCAGTGATAAAATCTAACCTCTTAATAATCCAGGGACAGACAGGAAGGACATATGGCTTTCCATACTGCTGCAGGATTGCAACATCCGTAGACATTAGATGGAATAATCAATGAAGATGGATTAAAGGGCAGCTAGACACCCGGGTGGCCATACAACTTCCATCCAACCCTATGTTAATCTTTCATTTGGGAGGCTGAATTTCTAGTGGGTATGATGAGAAACACCACTTAAGAAACGCCAGGAACATCTCTTGGTTTCAGAGCTGGTCATAAGTTTGGGGATGTCCAGGGTGAAGTGACCTCTGATGGCCTCCGGCAGATTTAGAGCTTGGAAAACATACTTGTGGGGCTATAGCCCCAGAATATTTCTGCTAGCATAGCTGGAGATGCTGGGACTGTAAGCATAAAAAGTACAAATTCCAAGATCAGACAAGAATTCCTTGGAAAAAATGCCAGTGTGATTAGCAGCAGTCTTTTAAACAATCAAAGGTAGCTCTCTGTGGATATATGTGCATACATGTGTTTGCCATATTAAATTTCCCACAAGGGCACAGTGGGGAATTAAAAGGAGAGCTATACCCACCTGCTTAAAGCACCACATCATGGGGAATTTTTTTTAAAAGCAAGCCCTTGTGAAGGTGTCACTGGTGAGCTCTGCCAGAGCATTGGATTCCAGACAGCTGCCCAGTGATAACAAGTGCTAATGGCAGCTCTATTTTGAATGGATTTTGAATATGGATGTTCACCAATGCTTGTACACAGCCTTCAGTGGTTTTGATGTGATTTGGACAACAGAAGCTCCTGGTAGATTGTTTCCTATGTATTTAAGTGTTTAAGAAACGAAGAAACAAATAAATGAAGAGCTTGGAAAAACTTGTTGTTGTTGTTTTGAAGTAGAACTCCCAGAACTTGCCATTAAGTATGAGATGCTATGAGTTGTAGTCCAAAAATTGAAAGTTTCCAAGGTAAGAAAAATACTTGCCTGCAGCCATTGCAATACCCTGCGGTAATGACTTTTATAGACTATGTGTGAAAAATTCATCCATTCTTCTTCAGCCCCTTCCATATTAGGTTGAACTCTTAAACACATTGATAAGTGAATACATTTCATTGTATTTGGTTGAAATGCAATTCATTCTGAAAAAATACATTTAGGGTTTAACTGTTAATTTTGGTGAATGCTTTTTTTAAAAAAGAAAGTTTACAATTAAAATATTTCTTTTCCTCCTGGCAGGTAATCTCCTCCTGTCCCGTAATATTTTATGATTTTTGTTATAAAGACTGAAGTCAGTAGAGACCCATTCCCTGCCTTTTTCCCAGTTTGGGACTCAAAGTAGCTTACAACAAATTAAAAATCATATCATTAAAAATCCACAAGATACAAATACAATAAAATTTACAGATATAAAGAAAATTTTAAAAAGTAAACAAAAGGAAAAAATATTTTAAAAATCCAGAAGGTTCAAAGTGAAAATGAGATTGAACAATCAAAACATTAAAACCAGATTAAAACAAATATCATTAAAACACACACAACAGTACAACAGTTAGCAAGATCCAGCACATTTTGGTGTGATGAGCCTTAGCTAATCAATCATCAAATGCCTGTCTAAACAGAACATTCTTTACATTTCTGTGAAAAGTAGGAAGAGTGCCAGTCTAACTTCTTTGGGAAAGGAAAAACCTATGGGCAGCTACTGAGAAGCCCCTCACCTGTGTTCTCACTAGATGTACCTGTGAAGGTGTTGGGATAGAGAGAAGGGCCTCCCCAGAAGATCTCAAGCATGGGCTTGTTCATGAGAGAAAATAAACTCTTTTAAATAACTTGGACCTGATCTGTGTAGGGCTTTATAGGTCAAAACCAGCACAAAACCAGACCAGGAGCCAATGAAGGGAGTTGTGTGTTCCATGTAGCCAGCCACAGTTAGCAATCTCTTTGGGCCAGTTGAAGTTTCCAAACACTCTTCAAGGGCAGCCCCACATACAGCATATTGCAGTAATCCAACTAGGATATAACTAAGGTATGTGTCACCGTAGCCAGATCTGACATCTCGAGGAAAGCCATATGATATACAAGCTTTAACTGCGCAAATGCACTCCTAGCCATTGCTGAAACCTGAGCTTCCAGGTTCAGAGTTGAATCCAGGAGCACACCCAAGCTGCAGACCTGCATCATCAGGAGTTTTCAAAGAGGTAGCTGTGTTAGTTTCTTGCAGCATAAAAAGGAGGAAGGAAGGAGGAGAAGGAAATGTGGCAGCACTTCAGCACAGGCTGAATCTCCATTTCCTGATCTGCCTTTCAACTGACCAGGAGCGCTCTGTCATGTCTGGACATATGTATGAACAATATGTAGAGAGCTCTTATAGCACCTTTGAGGCTAACTGAAAGAAAGAAATTGTCAGCATGAGCTTTCCTAGACTTCAATCTACTTCCTCAGATGCATTTGGTGGAGTGGAGGCCAGGCACAGATATATACTGTATTTTCTGGCATATAAGACTACTTTTAAACCCAGGAAAATCTTCTCCAAAGTCGGGGTCATCTTATACGCCGGGTGGAGAAGGAGGAGGAAGAAGGGGGGCAGTGCGGGAGGAGGAGGAGGAGGGGGGAGGAAGAGGGAGAGTGGTGTGCCGTGAGGCAGGTGAAGGAGGCAGCGGCGGATAAGAAGTGAACCCCTATCCTGGGGTTTTCTTGGCAAGACTGGTTCAGAAGAGGTTTGCCCTTGCCTTCCCCTTAGTCTGAGAGTGTGTGACTTGTCCAAGTTCACCCAGTGCGTTTCATGGCAGAGCAGGGAATCAAACCCAGGTCTCTAGAGTGGTAGTCCAACCCTTAAACCACTACACCATGCTGGCTCCTATTCCCATGTACTACCTATGAAACAATTGCAGACTTTTTTGTTGTTCTTGTGTGTCTTCAAGTCCTTCCTGACTTATGGCGACCCTTAGGCAACTTTATCATGGAGTTTTCTTGGCATGTTTCTTCAAATGGGGATTGCCATTACCATCCTCTGAGGCTGAGAGTGTGTAACATGCCCAGGGTCACTTACTTGGCTGCAAATTGTACATACCCCAGAATGCATCACCTAGTATATTGGTAATCCTTCCCCCAAAAACTTTCTCATTTCTCCCCATTGAAAGAGCATATTGTCTTATATGGCGAGCATATCCCAAACTATATATTTTAACTGGAAAAGTTGGGGGTCGTCTTATATGCCCAGTCGTTTTATAAGCTGGAAAATACGGTATATATGTGAGGATGTTAATCTGGATTAAGTTTCATTTTGTTTCCTCTCATCCAGTTCATTACTGTCAACAGACATTGGTTTAGTACCGAGACAGCTTCCTCAGAATCAGATGTGAAGGAGAGAGAGAATTGGGTGTCATGAGCATACTGGTGGTATTGAACTCCAAAACAACCTCTTTCAGTGGTTTCATGTATATGTTAAATAGCAGGGTTGAGGTTATAGGGGAGAACAGAGCCCTGAGTGAACCTGCAGACCAAGGAACTGAGCAGGAATTCCTCAGTACCACCTTCTGGGTTTGTTCCTCCTGGAAGGAATGGAGTCCCATCCCAGCAAGGAGACCCAGAGTCCCATCTCAGCAAGGTGACCCAGAAAGACCCAAAAGGATACCATGATCGATGGTCTCGAAAGGTTCTGAGAGGTCCAGCAGAACCAACAGGGAGACACTCCAACCATAGGTCATCCACCAAGGTGACCAAAGCCATCTCTGTTCCATAACCAGGCCTGAAACTAGATTGAAATGGACCTAGATAATTTGTCTCATCCAAAAACTCAGGAGGTGGGAGGCCACCGCATGCTCCAGAACCTTGCCCAAAAATGGAATGCAGCTTGGGATCCAGGGATGGCTTTTTTAGTAATGGTTTTATACCAACCTCCTTCAAACAAGCTGCACCTCTACCTTGTTTTAGCAAGGCATTCATCACTCTTTACTCACAAAGCCAGTCCTCCTCTAGCTTTTTTAATAACAAGCTAGAGGAAAGGCTTGCATGTGCTGGCTCTCAGTTCTCCAAGAATCCTGTCCACAGCCTCAAATTGCACAAATTCAAAAGTATATATTATCACTGAAAAAATAGGGGCCAAAGAACACCTTAAAACTAGACTTATCATGACTTCTCAAAAATCATTTATGGCCGCAGCTTCCAAGTTGTGGAACAGCCGGCTGGAGGAGATCCGTCTGATTACTACTCTAGAAGCCTTCAAGAAGGCACTTAAGACAGAGCTCTTCCGGAGGGCCTATCCATCTGATCTTCCAGATTTTTAGACTCTGACAATGATTGGCTATTTTATTTTATTTTATCCTATTTTATTTTATTTTCATTGATTTTATTATATTGTATTCTATTCTCTTAATCTATCATTATTATTGTTCTGATTTTTATTATTGTATTGTTTATATTTTGTACATTGTATTCATTTTATTGTGTAATCCCGCCTCGATCCGTAGGGACAGGCAGGAAATATAAATAAAACTTATTATTATTATTATTATTATTATTATTATTATTAAAGTAGCATCTACTAGATCTATATCAATTATAGCATCCAAGTCAGAGCGGATCTGAGTGATTTTATCTGCAAAGTGTTGGACAGGTTGTTCACAGTGGCCTGGTAACCTGCATCATAACTGTGACTGACACACACTAATGATACTTGGATATTATTCAGCAGCTGTTACAAAGACTTTGCCTTTCTGTACATGTTCACTTACTTAGCACTCTCTAAAGTTTAGCAATAGGAGGCCTTCAGCCCTATTCCAGTCAGAGGCCCAATCTGGGCATAATCCAGTCGCCTCTCTTTGCCATGTTGTGTGCCAAGAGAAATTAATGCTAGTCTACTTTTGTGTGTGCTCTTTGTATTGTGTGTCAGAATACATTGCTGGCGTATCAAGTCAGCTTCAACTCAGACCCTATGAATGAGAGACCGCCAAGAGTCCCTGTCATCAGCAGCCCTGTTCAGGTCTTGCAAACTCAGGGCCATGGCTTCCTTGATCAAATCAGTATATCTGTAATATGACTTTCCTCTCTTCTTGCTGTGTTCCACTTGCAAAGCATTAACATCTTTTCCAATGAGTCATGTCAACTCACGATATGTCCAAAGTGTGATACTCTAATTTAGTAAGCTTGGCTCCATTAGCTTTACAAAAGACCTGTTCTTGGTGGAGGCGCAAAACACTGAGACTTGTTGTTGATATGGACTTTGTTTCTTTGGCAGTGGTCATCACTATGGAGATGATCACAAAGAACTCCTGCACTTTACAGTTTACGACTACGGGCCAAAACACACTGCAGAAATAATCCAGTTTGAGACCACTTTAACTGTCCTGGCTTGGTGCTCAAGAATTCTGGGAACTGTAATTTGTTGTGGCACAAGAGCTCTCTGACAATTAAGGCTAAATGTCTCACAAACCATGGTTCCCAGAATTCCCTAGCACTGAGCCAGGGCTGTTAAAGTGGTCCTAAACTGGATTATTTCTGCAGTGTGTTTTGGCCCTGCATCACTGTCCAGAGAACCTGACCTAATATTAAGCATTAAAAACCTGAGGTAATTAGTTAATAAGGCATTTGGGCTGGAGCAAGGATATTTAAAGCCAGTTGGATTCTCTTCTGCGGAGACATGTTTAGGATTGTAACACTGCTTGTTTTATTTAATTATATTCTACCTTTCCTCGCCACTTTATTTGCACAAGAACCCTATGAAGTGGGTTGCAGACTGCCAGAAATAGTGCAAACTGAGTCCATTTTAGCTGCCCTGGCTCAATGCTAGGGAATCATGGGAACTGTAGTTTATTGTGGCACCAGAGCTCTCAGACAGAGAAGGCTCAATGTCCCAGAAAAAACTACGGTTCCCATTATTCCCTAGCACTGAGCCAGGGCAGTTAAAGTGGACTCAATTTGCACTATTTCAGCAGTCCGCAAAGGCCCGTAGCAGAGCAAAAGAGATCACCCAGTGAGTTTCATGGCTTTGTGATTGTCATAAGTCGGAAACGATTTGAAGGCACACAACAACGCAAAGTTTAATATTTGTCCTGTTGAATTTAATTAGTCTATTTTAAACATAAATCTGGATCTAACACTTTCTCTCCACACAATTACATCCAGAGAGAGAGAGAGAAGTGCACACATTCTGATTCCAGAATCAGAAAACATAGGATAAACTCATAGGGTTGCAGTTACATTTTTAAGCTCTTTCTCTAAGGACGTTATAACACGGGGCAAATCTGCTGGTTAATCCACACAAATCCC